AGCAAATGCTGATTTATTCTCTATTCTGAGTATACAAGAGATAATAAATAAATTACTAGGTTCATCTTTTAAAGAAAACAAGAGATTTGTATCCATTTGGAAAAGAAAAATGAAAATTTGACGTTTGTTTTTGGTTGTCTAAGAAAATTGTATTGTGACAAAATTATGAATTTTTTTCATATCCTTTAAATGATTAAAATCCAAATTGTACTTATGGATTAAATTTCAAAATTTTCATGGTAGTTATGAGACGAATTTTAAAAGAAAAAAATTTTCATCCAAATTTCAGTTTAAGGAATCTTAGAACGCCAACACATACGATATTTTTGGAAAGTTGGTACAGTCCAGATTGCCTTTCATTGAGAAATATAGCAGGGTACAGAAAGTCCTGGTTTCTATGTTACATGTCATGATGCTCCCCAGAAATCCAGGTTTACTAGCAAATTAATGGACACATTTTCTTCTATTCCTTCATATGCCTTATTAGCTTTGAGCTTTTACATATTTAGATAAAATGATATTTTGGCTAAAGACTTGCCTCTTTTGCCTTCCTTGGTTTTTGGAAATTATTTTCTGTTCTATATTTTATTTCAGTTTTAGTAGTAATCCTGGTAGTGGTGCTCTTTGACTTAAAAGTTCTTTTAACTATGAAGCACCTAGGTGGCTCAGTTGTTTGGTGGTCGGCCCTTGTTTTTGGCTCAGGTCTAGATCTCATGGATCATGAAATAGAGCCCAGCATCAGGCTCTGCACTCAGCAGGGAGTCTGCTTGAGGATTCTCTCCCTCTGCCTCTCCCCTACTAGTATTCTCTCTCTCTCTCTCTCTCTCTCTCTTTCAAATAAATAAATAAATAAATAAATAAATAAATAAATTTCGAAAAATAAAAAAAAATAAAAGATATTTAAACTACTAAATTTAGTAAATTTAGGTAACATAATTACCTAATGTTAATTTAAGGATGAATAAAGTTCTTTCTGCATTACCAATGGTAGCTTTAAAAAAGATTTGAGGGATGCCTGAGTGGCTCAGTGGTTGGGCATCTGCCTTTCAGTTCAGGGCGTGATCCCAGGATCTGGGATCGAGTCCCACATTGGGCTCCTTGCAGGGATCCTGCTTCTCCCTCTGCCTGTGTCTCTGCCTCTCTCTCTCTGTGTCTCTCATGAATAAATAAATAAAATCTTAAAAAAAAAGATTTGAGATTCAAGATAAAGGAAACTACACTGTATGCTCTGAAAGGAAGATCCCAGTATTTCAGGAACATGTCCTGCAGTAGAAAACGCTTGTACATGGGAGATAGAGAGAACTGTGTGGCTGTAAGAACATCACTTAACCACTTGTGGGTTCTGTTTCTGCATTTATAAATTTCAGCAAATGCCTACTTTATAACATTTGTCTCTTCTGATGAAGCATCAGATGTAAAGTCTCCAGCAGAAAGCCTGATACACAATGGCTAGTTAACATTAGTCACTTTATCTCTCTAACTTCTATTTACTATTCATTCTTGAATAATAATAAAGACCAACACCAGACAATACTTACTTTATACCTAGTAAATTCAGATGATTGAGCAGACTCTATCTCATATGTTGTATGAAGTCCAATTTTAATTTTTCTGATTCTTGGTAAATTACATATAGTAATTGCAGTAAAAAAGTATACCTTAAAAATTCCTTTCCATAATTTCATAATTTAATTTACTTTGCAATAGTGATATAAGATTAAATATATTATTATCTTGCTTTAGAGATTAGAAAAGTGTCACTATCTGAACTGAAATGACTTGATAAAAGTGGAGATAGAATGTAACTTTCAGTCTCTGGGCTCCCAAGTTTTGTGTGGTTCCATGACACCATGTTACCTTTTTACAAAAATAAACCTTTGTCCCATTTATAGCAACATGTTAGTGGACAGTCAGCCACTATAAGCAAAATATGATAGGCATTAAAAGCTTTTTGAGGTAACTCAAGAAGTTAGGTTGGCCTATGAAGCAGATAAGAACTGATTATTTGCTGCTGAAAAATCATTTTTCTAAAAAAAAAATACCCCAAGATTGTTCATACAATTAATGTATCTGTTATAACTTTGGGTTGAGTGCACTTGGTTTGACTGTAGTTAACTACATTTTTCCCTGGGTTGCTTTTTTGACATTGTGTATGATAATTTTACCTAAATGAACTTATAGTTTCATTGCTTATTCTCTAGAATTTTGAAAATTTAGAAACTTAATGACTTGGTATTAAAATTTGGGACTGTATTTCATAATACTTCAAAATATCTAAGGCACTATGCTAAACTTAAAGTATTTCTTACTCAATCTCATAGGCATTTTTGGAAGAAGTTCATATATCTATATGGGAATGTAGATGTTCTTCTTTTAGAGTAACTAATGTACCTAAAGTTCAAGTTATTTGTTCAAAAGAATATGAAAAATATATCAAATAAAAAGACTCATAATGGAAAACAAGATGGATAAATAAAAGAATATAGATGCAGAATATGAAAATCTTACATGTTTGGATAAAGGCATGTGGCCTTATTCCACAGGTCAGTGTCAGTATGTAAGGTCTGTTTGGTTTTATCTTACCTACATACTAAAAAGCTAAACTCTACTCTTTCATGATGCTGATAGAAGATATGAGTCTCCTGGGTCAGAGACAAAGGACTTCATAATTCATAGCAAAAGCTGCTGCTGAGTGTCAACATGCTGCTTGTGTCATTTCCCTGTGCTTCCTTTCCAACACCATAGAAGTGACACACAGGACCAACGACAGATGCCTGCACACACTGTGGGTTATGTTAAAGAAGGGGAACTGATGTGGGGGATTCACAGCTTTTGTAATATGAAAACACAAGCCTACTTTTTGTCTGGAGAGGGGGTGGTACCTAGAGTTGCTCACTGCAAGCGCACCCTAAGAAATGGCCCAGATAAAGAGCATTCAGTGTCTTTTATTTTTGTCATACTCAAAAGAATAGTGGAGATGCTCAGGGCAACAGCAGTTGCTTTTCCCAACAGCAAGTGACTCTCACTATTTTTAAAAAGATTTATTTATTTGAGAGAGAGAGAGAGCATGCACAAACGAGGAAGGGGAGAAGAGGCAGAGAGAGAGAGAGGGAGAAGCAAACTCCCCACTGAGCAGGGAGCCTGATGTGGGCTCAATCCTGGAACCCTGGAATCATGACCTGAGCCGAAGGCTCAGGCTTAACTGACTTAGCCACCCAGGTGCCTGGATTCTCACTGGTTTTAAATGCCAAGAAATGCATTCCTCTAAAGGATAAGAAATATTGCCATCAGTGACAATGCTTTCTACACTGGTAATTCTCATGAGGAGCAAGGGAAATCTTGAAATCTTCACAAAATCCTCCAGGTGATTTTGGTACAACCATCTGGCAGGAGGTGGGGGGGTGGGAACACCATAATCATATTTTTCCTTTAGAAAGGTAACTCAAGGCATTGTATGGAGATTAACCAGATTGGACAAGATGAGGACAGAACCTAATTAAGGAGGCTATATAACAACCATGGTAAGTGACTACGAGGTGATTCAATTAATGCAAATATGGATGTAGAAGACAGACCAAGAAAGGAGTATACTGGAGCAGGGAGAGATAATAGGAGGAGAATTGTTGGAATTGACATTCATGAGGAAATCAGCACATAGAAGTTTGAGATATCAAATCTACTTTTTGAAAAGCTGTATTTTAAAGATTTACTAATTTTAGGGGATCATAGATCTTAATATATACCAGGATAGGAAGAGGCATTCTATAGACAATTTAGAATCCAACAATGAAATTTACTTTTTGTTAACTTAAAATTAGCCAGGACTATTCACTTTCCAGTTAGCTCTATCAAACACACACACACACACACACACACACACACACACACACGAGTGCGCCAACATTTAGAGCACTATAGTGAACAATGAAGTCTACTAGACACTTTATTCATGACATAAAAATCTTAGTCAAAAATAGAACAAAAAATCTCAACATCCATGGAACCAAATAATATCCAAGATGTATAATAATGTCTAAGGTACTTATCAAATGAATGTGATTAATGGATAATCCAAACACTTCATTTAAGCTAAGAGTTTCAAATTCTTCTCATTCTAATCTATATTTTAAAACTAATTAGGGGGAAAGGGGGAAATAATTTTTTTATTTTATTCTGTCATTTCTCTTTTTTTAAGATTTTATTTATTTATCTATTTATTTCAGAGAGAGAGAACAAGCAGGGGAAGCAGCAGAGGGAGAAGCAGGTTCCCTACTGAGCAGGGAGCCTGACACACGGCTCAATCCCAGGACCCTAGTCTCATGACCTGAGACATAGGCAGATGCTTAACCAACTGAACCACCCAGGTGCTCCCTGTCAGTCCTTTCCAAAAGAGAGAGAGAGAGAAAGAGAGAGAGAGAGAGAGAGAGAGTGGATAAGTGGGGGCAGGGGAAAGAAGCAGGGGGAGGGGAGAGAATCTTAAGCAGTCTCTACGCTGAGGTAAAGCCTGATGCAGGGCTCCATATCACCACCCTGAGATCATGACCTGACCTGAAATCAAGAGGCAGACGCTTAACCAGCTGAGTCACCCACGCGCCCCTTTGCTCTTATTTCTTTATCTCAAATTTTAACTATCAGTTATCCATGAGTAAAAGGCATACAGCAGAGAAGAAAAGAAACCAGAGTCTGGATAACTAGTTGATGATAAGTGAGAAATGAAACATCATTCTTGGTCCGTATCCCAGCTAAGAGCAGCCCAGATCATTTCATAGACAAAATGGACATCCGGCTGTTAATTTTGATCTATCTACTTTGCTGCAATATTAGGTTTAGATACAAATGTCTGAGGCCTCACAAGTTGGTAAAGGGATGAAAATGGACATTCATAAGTCTAAATCACTGATATTTTGGTAAATTCAATAGACAAAAAATAGCCTTAGGCTCTTGGAATACATCTACAGACAATGAGTGCTGCCTCATTGTGTATGGAGCCATGCTCTTACCTGATTGCAAGTGTTGATGTCTATGCCCCCTTTCAGGTATTCCACTACTTTGTCCAGGTTGCCTGCTCTGGCAGCACGGAGGAAGCTTGCATTGCTGTCCGACTATGAGGAAAAAAAAAAGAAAAAGCCTTCAGCGAATTATGGATAAAATAAAGACACATCAAAGACAGAAAGACAAAAAATGTTTACACTGCAAATCAGAAAAGCCTTTATTGCAAAATACCTCAATATTGAGTTTAAAACACTGAATCGTATTTTTAGAGAGTTGTTTAAAGTCAGTGGGAGGTATGTTCTGCTATATTGAAGAGTACAAAAGAACTATTAAAATAAAAATTGTTACCGCTTTATTATAAATCTTTTGCCACATTTGAGGATGAATTTATGCTACTCCCAAATCCACTGTTAACCATTCATTTTAGCTTCAAGGTGCTCATGACCTTATAGCAAGCCTAATGTCAAGCCAAAAAAAGGAACCAGAAAAGTAAAAGAAATTAAAGGGACTGGGTTTCTTTTTTTCTTTTCCTTTGCTGTTTGGTTTTCAGAAGAGTCTGAGAGAGAATGCTGAGTATGGGTCACTTGGCAGTCATCTGTCCTCTTTACAAGGGAAAAGGAGAAAGCTCTGAGGATGCTTTGAGGAAAGAGGATAACACTAGTTGGCAGGTGTGGACTCAGCCAATGCAAATTTTGTGATCCCAGTGATTTTGGGAAAACAAGATTAAACTTAACCCAGCTGACACAATACCAGACTAAAATCCCTTGGTAAAGATAAACATTCATCACGGGGCTGCTTTTTAACTCCTCTTCTTCCCCCAGTGCCTCTCAACATCAGATCCTGGAAGAAACAGCTGAATTTCCCCCACAGAACATCCAAAGCAGAGCTGCTCCAAAGGTGAAGCTACAGTCACCCAGCCACCCTAGCTTGCTTGTAAAACCTGACTTTTGAAAATTAACCCAATAATGATGATAAACTTTGTGAGGTACCAGAACAACTTGTGCAACTTTATAATTCTTGTGGTATCGTATCTGACTAAAGAGAACGTGGTAACATGAAAAGGGAAGTGAGACAGTTGTGACAGCTCATAATCCAGCACTCTCCCCGGTAGGCTACACTGCCTCTCTTCCTCAAAGAATATGTTTGGCAGGGGCTCTTGGCACACTCTTTCAAGACCTATTTATTACGACTGGTGATGATGTACAGAGATAGAAATGGAAGTATTTTCTCTGGGAGTCTCAAATAGAGAATTGTTTGCATACTGTTAAAGTGATTTACACATGGGAAGACGGAAAGCCACGGGACCAAATTACCTCAAATTTAACTCAAATACCATAATGACTGATATATTTACAAATCAGACAGATAACTTATGAAGAGTTGAGAGATATGCCTAAAATCCATACAGCTAGAATTCACGTCCCGATGCTTCAGAAGAGTATCACAGTCTGGCTACTAACCGACCATTCTTCCCTCCCTGCATGGCTGCAATGCCTCACTCTTTGTCCCTCCTGAAAGCTGTGCCCATGGCAGGGTGCCCTAAGGGTATCTGCAATGCTGCAGTGACTGACTTGTGACTCATTTTAAAATGACTTCTCTATGGTTTGTGGCAAATTCTAAACTCCAGCGAGATTTTCCACGTCAGGTTTCTTGCCACAGCACTTAAAAGTGAAAGATAATACTGTGCATTGTGTTAGGTCAATAACTCACAGGAAACATTGTTTACTATAAAACAACTAAAATTAAACAATATTAGGTGACAGAAATATGACATTATTTTCCACATATAGTTTTTTAAAAAAAATAAATCTGTGCTATATGTTATATATTATGTTAAAGATCATGCCTAGAAACCACTGCTATCCTGTACACGAAACTTAATAATTATAGTTAACATTCATTGTTTACTAGGGGTCAAGCACAGAGCTAAGGGAGTCAATCATATATACTATATCCTTAATATTCACAATAATAGAATGAGAAAGAAACTATTATTATGTTCATTTGATAAGTGAGGAAAGAGGTTTAGGTAGTTTCCAAGGTCACACAGTTATTCAATGGAAGATCTAAGATTTATTTATTTAATATTCTTTTTTTTAAGATTTTGTTTATTTATTTATTTGACAGCACACATGCACACAAGTAGGCAGAGCAGCAGGCAGAGGGAGAGGGAGAGGCAACCTTCCCGTTGAGCAGAGAGCCCAAACTGGGGCTGGATCCCAGGACCTTGGGATCATGACCTGAGCCTGAGGCATATGCTTAACTGACTGAGCCACCCAGGCACCCCAGAAGATCCAAGATTTAACTTATGTTTATCAGCCTGGAGCTAGTCTTAACTGCTACTCTATCTCAGCCCTCCAAAGCATCAAGGCAGATATTACTACAGGTACCTAACCTATGTGCTATAGGTTTTTTTCAGTTGTGAGAACCACTGTTACGCCCTTGATCTACATATTTGCTCTGTAAATCACGGCACCTGCTAAATAGAGTCCCTTAGCTGCAGAGAGAATTCTTGGCTAATATCCCTGTCCACACATCTCTCAAACATCTATACACCTAGAAAAAGTAGTAGCTGACTTAAAAAAACTACTTAAAAACATAATCACTTGGGAATGAGGAAAAGAGATGGTAAAGTACACAATGCATTAAAAAAGCCATTGACTATCCTTGTCTCCATGCCTGATATGATTAAACTCAGGAACTAAGCAGGGTGCTCTATCATTCCTGTGGGGAAAAGAGTGCCATGAATAAGTAGAGCCAGAGGGAGCACCTGATCTGGAAGGGATGAAGAAACACCTGCAGATATGACTGTGGAGGCTTAAATGAAGATGTTGGTCTGAAGGGAGCTGTAGGCACCACGGAGGAATGTCAAATAGACCCTCTTAGAACCTTCTTAAGATTGCTTTTGCTATTACATAACTGGTTTTCATAACTCGTTTTCTCTTTTCTAAAGCACACTTCTAAAAAGTAGATGTGAGCCGAAGACTTACAGCCAATCCCTGGAATTTTAGCAAAATATATTTCCAGTGTTCTGGAAGATTCTAGACCCAAGGGAAATGTAATATTTCCCGCTAGGGACCTCTTCAACAGTGAGTCATAGTAGCCTTTGCTATAAGTTGGATTCTTTCAGAACCCGTTAAAAAATTTAGCTTTCCCCAAGTGAGAAAATGCATTAAAAATGCATTTTGCAAATGCAAATACATGAAAGTGTCATTAGAAAACAGTTCCAGAACATGGGTTTCGAGAACAAAATTAAAATGAGATTTCAGATGTTATGTATAGATGCTGACATCATTTTAGGTAAAAAGTAGAGACCTGCATGGAAATATGTATTATTTCACCACTTTCACGTAGACACAGGCATACCCTCCTCCACAATGAGGTCAATCTGTGATTAAAGCTCTTGACACAAGAGCTTAAGATAAACAGTAGTCAGTCTGGTTACCTTCAATCAACACAGAGATGAAAAAGGATTCAGGGATTCATGGTGAGAGACGCAGCAACTTTCACCACACTGTGTTTCCCTCTGAGTAGGACAGAAGTAATTATTTCAAAATTAAGTGTACATAGGGGGGAAGTATGCTTTCAAAATAGATTGTTGTCTCCTGGTTCAACCAGGAGATTTCACACATAACAGCTCAATAAAGGGAAAATGAGGCAATAGCAAATCCTCGGGGGAAAGTCTCTGACAAATGTAAAACTAACCTCTTTCTGCTCTACTGCATTATGTCCCTAGGACTCCCAAATCCTAAAACCAATTTTACTTATGCCTATAAAGTCTGATTCTGGGCAAGGAATTCAAATGCTGAGCCCCACTTATTTTAATCTGCAACAGATGGATGTCATTAAAACTTGCCCCTTTTACAACCCTGGTGTGGCATCTCAAGTCGAGAAAGAAAAATTTCCTTTAAAATTCCTCTTGACACAGTTCTGTACATTTTTTGTATCTAAATGTTAGAAAAACAGAATACTTTCTTAGCACCCAGCAGGGTGGATGTGAAAGGCAAAGAAGAATGTGCATTCACAGAGCCACATTATATCCTAAAGAAGTACTTCTCCAAAGTCTAGGGGTCACAGGCGTCCATGAGTTTTCCACAAAATGTTTTCTTTTTTTAAATTCTGTGCTTGCATTTCAATAACAACCTAATAAGAAAAATACAAGCATGTTCCAGGTCATCTAGATGGCTACCCTTTAATGAGTACAATCATGTAATTTTGGTATGAGCCTTTGTGCTTATAATTCAGTGTATAACAAGTGAAGTAGATATTATATACAGATGCATGATTTACAAAACATTTTGCTGTGATGGAGATTCTCTGATCATTATACATGACAGGATGGAATGCATGATAAACCAAAAGAACAGCAGTCAGCAGCCAACACCGTAGCAAATAAACATAAGGTTCAGATGCTATCTTTGCATCAACCGTTAGCAAACCATTGCATTTCTAGTAATAGAAAATCCACGGTGAAACATTTTTCAGTTCCCAATTCTTGCTTTTACTGGATTACAGATGTACAAACCTTTGCCGCAATACTAATTTTATCTCCAAGCAAATAGAGGGAGCTTTAAACGATTATCCAAAGGCATGCCATTAAAATTGACATGAGCAAATTTCTCTAATAGCTTTGTTTTATTACTCTGAACTGAAAGACAAAACCTTAAACGTATTAATGATGATTTGTACGACGTAGACAAAAAAGATATCCGTTATGTTATTTTCATCGGAGTCAAATTCAGAAGCATATTAAATTATAGAAATCTAAGGTTAGATCTTTTTACTATTAAACCCAATATCTGGGACGCCTGGGTTGGCTCAGCGGTTGAGCGTCTGTCTTCCGCCCAGGGTGTGATCCCGGATTCGGGATCGAGTCCCACATCGGGCTCCCTGCAGGGAGCCTGCTTCTCCCTTGGCCTGTGTCTCTGCCTCTCTGTCTCTGTCTCTGTCTCTCTCTCTCTCTGTGTGTGTGTGTGTGTGTGTGTGTGTGTGTCTTATGGCTAAGCAAATAAAATCTTTAAAAATAAATAAACCCAATATCTGTTATTTAGTTTGAGTCAATTCTACTACCCACTCTTAAATTGGAGTCAAGTATTTGAATTTTGCTATG